ATGTCAGTTTGGTTAACAATTTTTATCAAATTCAACTAAACTTTTGATTCTGGCTTTTGTAAAATTACTCTCTACCAATAATAAGCCAGCTCTATGTAAAATGTATGCACATGGAAGCATGCAATGTCTCTTTATTTAAACTTTCAAGTTTCCTGCATGGCACATGTTTACAGCCTCTACTGAGTCTCCTCTATAGTCATTTAGTAAGGAGTCGATCCTTACATCGCAGGTTCGAATCCCACTGTGGGATGTGGAGACCGGTCTTTTGGATGAGACCGTATAAAACCGAGGTCCCATGTTGCAGTAGTTGTTGGCATGAAAAATATCCAGAAATGCAGAATATAGGACAAAATTTGCAGCTCTCCACTATGGCCATTCCATATGAGTGAAAAACTCTCGAAAGAAATTAAACAACATAAAATCAATCAATCATTGAACTTTCAACTATAATATACGGAGAGATCGAGAAAGCAATAGAGAGAAACATAGACAAGGTAATCCCCCCACCCCATATATATATGCATAATTGCTGGTTGCATACATGCCTGTTTAATAATACATTACTCATTCACTGAGGAATGTAACATAGGACACTGTATTGTTCTCTATCAAAGTATGCAAGTGTCAATAATGTTACTGAAAAAAATTGTTATGATCAATATTTCACTGAATTAGTGCCCAATACTGAAGAACAATGAATAGAAATCCCGACTCTTGAAAAGTAGAGAAAAGCAGAGTATTTCATACAGATTAATGCACATATCATACATGTAAACAAATGTCATACATGCTTCTCTATGAACCAGAAGGACAAATTTACACCTAAACCCTATATATTCTCACCTTTTTCATGCAATTCCTGATTTATATTCTGAATAACAGAAGCAAACTTTGCTTGATTATATGCCAGAAGCTCCATGCTTGATGTCAAATTTTCATCTACAAGGGAAAATTTGCAGAAATCCTCTTCATTTTCAGTTTTCCAATCTCCCTTTTTATGCTGCCAATATGGCCACACATTATCCAATAATCCCCCAGAACATTTACCCTCCACAGAAACACAGAGACAGTAAAATTACAAGAAATGCCATCATTTAATCGACAAATGCACTGCAATTAACAGCACTCTCAATGATCAACGGGGAAAAATGTTCACACCAATAGTTTATCTTAGAGTTATCCCCCTTGCCCAGGAAAAATTACACAACATGTAGTGATTCAGTGAAGCAGTCTGGGAAAACTCCTGACAGCGGCAAGCATGTCTTAATTGTTCCGATACATCTTGATGGAGGTAAACAAGTGATTACGGGACCGACGATCAACTTCCTACAGAGGGAGTTAGTGGGATATTGATCTGGGGGTGCTGAGGAGAATGGCCTACCCACAGGTATGTAAACTATCCAGCTGAAGAGTGCATTGTACATAATTTATTCAAGAATTGACACTGTTTCTGCAAGGGGAAGTGAATTATTGAGTAACTTAAATGGGTTAAATTTCTGTTTTATGAGAATGGCAAGCACAGATGACTGATTATATTGATTCTCAAAAACAAGAGAAAGTCAGTGGAGAGAATCTGGAGATCAATATCTAACAAATAATCCATCATTATCTTCATCATTTCGTGCCAAACTCACATGACAGAGTAAAACTAACACAAGGGATGCTACTGTGGTTACCAAAATCAAATAGTACAGTATGTAACTGATCATTTTTATCAATAATTTAACAGAATAAAAAATAAATAATTTGAAGCTCGAGGGACATCCTGTAGTACAAATAAATTGTACTGATTTTTAAAAACTTTTTAGCTTCCCCTGTATACATTTGAATCCTGTTGTGATGTCATCCTATCTAAAGGGGGGTCATATTTAGAACAAACAATCAATTTTATTAATGTCCATGTCAAGAAGATTGAGACTTTTACCTATAGAATACATGTCATATAAAAACTTTGTTGCCTGATTTGTTATTTTCACTAGATTCACACGTAATTTTAACAATTTTTTTATGCCTTCAAGATAAAAGTATAACCTCATATGTGGGAAAAAAATTGCTTGTGACATTTGATTTGAATATAATATCAATAAAGTGATTCATTTACGTCTATTAAAAAATTCAATTTCCAGTTTGAAAGAAAATAACGAAAACAAAAACAGCAATCCACCAAAACAGAAAATCAATATAAAGACAATTTCCTCCCATTATATTTTTTCCCAACATGCAAACACTGTGTGAGAACTAAATCATTTTAAAGCAAGGAAACAAAATTTCAAATATTGACCTTCACCTGATTGGGGCCTGTCTTCCACAGATCTATTTTCCCTACTTCCTCCCGTAGTGTGTTCACTATTGGTAGTATCATTGACTTTTGCCTGTGTCCACTCTTCACTATTGGTATTATCACTGACTTTTGTCTGTGTCCACTCTTCACTATTGGTTTTATATTGGACTTTAGTCTGTGCCCATCTTTCAATGCAGCCTCTGTCTGTCTGCTGGTCAGTTTCTCCCAGGGACATATTAGGACTTGTGTCCTTCCCTGTACATATCTCATCCACTGGAACATCCTCTAATCCCCGGTCCTGGCTAGCCACGCAGCACAGACAGCAAGACTTGGTCTTCTTATTTGTGTTCTCTTTACTCAGTCTCTGGTACCTTGATTTCCTCACTCTAGGAACGACATTTTTCTGAGGTTGGGGTAGGTATTTGTTCGATACACTGTCTTTATCCTGTAGTGTCTCATTTTTCTCCGACTTTAACAATTCCTCTGAGACTTCCTCATCCATTTCACATCACTATGACAATAGTTTGTGTATATATCCAGCAATATTATCCTTCTGACATTTAGGCATTATCAATTTATTTATTTTTATGTCATTGCAATCCTTTTTAGTTTCTCTTCCCAAAGTTTCATCTAGCCATTGCAATGCTTTACCTTGAACAATTAGTCTCAGGTATCACTGCATCTTAGACATTAAATCATTTTCGCACATTTCTGTGATTATACAAGAGTTTAATTCTGCTCTTCATTTCTTTCAGTAGATTCCAGTAGCTGGTTATTAACATTAATAGCAGTTGCGCATCAATTATTAAGAAGCCAAATAATTATCTTGCTGTTTTCTAAATGTAAATAACTTTTAATTGATTGGTAAAAGCAAGCAGCGGAGGAGAGACTTTGTAATAACAGTTAATCCATCTTACACAATATGCTTCATTGAACAGATACTTCCTTGCTTAATTCTCCTATAATCCACTGTAAAACACAAGTCCACAGACTCCAAGCATTAGAAAAACAATGTCACACCCATTTCACGATATCAAATAAGACAAGACCAGCTTGAAGTTTTAGTCAAGCTATGGTATTCAATGCTATGCACCAGACTTCCACTCCTGAAATATGCAGTATCAAAACGATTGCTACAACTTACGTAATATGCATTATATAAGCTAGCATGTCACCCACACTTCATTGGACAATAAAACCAAACATTTGTACTTTTTCTGATATATACTTTTGCTCTGCATATTTAACCCAGACCATCTCGCTTTTGTATGGTACCTACATACAATGTTAAAAGGCTAAAGCTCTGATCAGATCTGCCCACTCTACAACCCCCTGAATAAGCCTCTGCACATTTCATCACAAATTGTTCATTATCCAACACTCTACAATATTACACTACTGCTTTGAAGCAAATGAATGATAGTTCTCCAGAGATTCATCAAGGGATATCTTTTCTCTAGATCTAAATGTAGGCCAACATTGATGATTAACTTCAATAAGCATGTTTGCAATGTGTTAATGTTATACTCTGAGCATTCCCAACATAATTTTTTTTTTTGGCCATACAAATTCAATAATTTTCTAAATTACAAAGTATACCAAAATTCCATCCATTCTTGAATTATTCAAAATGTATAGATATTTTCATCACATTTTATGTCCCATCCTTTTGTCCCACTAACCTTCCCCTTCAAATTTCTTTCTGATCATGCTAGTTAGATTAATCTGTGTCTCAGGAGAAGCCCTCACCACAGTTAGAATATGTCCCATATAGTTCCAATGTAACAAATCATAGAGATCAACTCAGAAATTTTAACGGAATTTAAAGGAGCTGTTTTGGATGGAGACTGCATTACTTACCTAAATGCACAACAGGCTGGGGCCATTGCCCAGTAGGGATAGGTAATTTGAGATAATTGATATGATCCTAAATAGAATATCAATTTATTGTGCAAAAGGATTTCAAAAATTGTATTTGGTAAACTACAGAATAGTCACTAAATGCCACATATTGTAGAAGTTAGGGCTTTACGGACCGTGGATATTGGCCTGGATAGCTCAGTGGTTAGAGCACCTGACTAGTAATGCAGGGGTCCCGGGTTCGATTCCCGGTCCAGCCATATGTTTTCTTCATGCATTTCTCCTTTCCTTCTGCATTTGGTGGCCAGTGTGGGGGGCTTTGTTCAGGCTACAGTGTATGTGTAAATTAGTAATTCCTGGGAGGGCCCTAGAACTTGTGTCTTCGAGGTTGAAGACTGTTTAAGGAGGGAGGAATGTAGAAGTTTGGGCTTTACTGATAGTGGATATCAGCCTGGATAGCTCAGTGGTTAGAGCACCTGACTAGTAATGCAGGGGTCCTGGGTTCGATTCCTAGTCCAGCCATATGTTTTCTTCGTGCATTTCTCCTTTCATTTTTAAAATTCTTTTTTTCTTTATAACCCTGCTGCTGCAGCTTGTGAGAATTTATGAGAAAAGTTTGGATTTTATGAGGAATTGATGTCCTAGCCAGAGAAGATTAAGAAGTTTTTATCATCCCAAATAGGCTATTATGTCTCATTTTGGGTAACTGGTCCCAATCTGTCAAATCTGTTTAACTACATGTACTTTCGTTTCACCGAAAATGCACCCACATGTGCACAACTCCACACTAATTATATTGTATTTCACACAATATAACGACTGAATATTAAGATTTCATCAGTAATAAAATTAATTATACCCCTGAAAAACGTAGGCGATGCCATCACCTGCTCCTTCTCAGTTTCTCTTCACCATCCTCACCCAAAATTCGCCCTTCGGAACACTACATGCGGAACACCTCATGTGTTTTCAGATGATGTATGGCGGGAGAAAATTTGAAGAATGTTGAGTCCCGGTAGACTCTTCTGAAGGTTTCAAAGAATGCTTTATTTAATTTTGATATGTTAAACACTGGTATAATATGAACTTCTGTGAAATTTTACATCCCTAACTTAAATACACAAACGTCGCATCAGCATCGATTTCTTTCCCGGTTGCATCTACTTTATTGAATATTAGCTGTTACAAAATAGAGGAATAGTTAATTTCATTTAACATGATATAGTCTATAATGATTAACGTTAAAGCAACCGCTAAGAAAATTTACGAAATAAACAATAGATACTTTTATCCGAATAAATTTGGTATGATTTAGCGAGAAAGAACTTCCTCCTATTTGTAAGGTAGCATTTGATTGGTTCAAGTATTCTTGGCTAAGCTAATGAAACTTTTTGTACATTTACTCGGATGAGTTTATCTGTGTCAATATTTATTTCACTTCCTTGATGAAGAGGAAGAAAAGTTATTGTGCGAATACTTTTGTTGGAATTTAATCCGTTATCTGAAACAGCTGTTTTTGCTTCCCAATCTGTTGAATTATGTGACTCTTTGTTGGTATGTTTCAGATGATTTTATGATCACATTACATTCCATGATTTGGTTACAAACGGTCTCATAGTGCACGTGAAGTCAAAAGATATTTGTGTAATCACAAAATCATTTAAATACGTAGTTTTTATATCACAAAGTTTATGTGAGCTTATTCTTTTCTTTTTTGATAAGAAATGAGTAATTACAATTGATGCATGGTAAGCATGAGGTACACTCTTTTATTGTTTCAATGTTTGAAATACATAGTATACAGTCTTGGTTGTTGAAGAGGAGAAAGTGTCATACTTTTCATTAATTACTCAACAGTGTAATAGACGTACATATGTGTAATAAGTCAAGTGGTGCCTGGCGGTGAATCTTAAAAGGCAAGTGCAGTTTCCAGGGATCGACACTAACTTTAAAACCATAGTTGTCAGCAGGGCTAGCCATTTCTTATTTCTACTAGCCCTGTTTATGTATTAGTTGTCCAGCAGCCAAAGGCTGGTGGCCGAGTCGCAAAGCAACCAGGGGGATAGGTGCGGGAGGGGGTTTCCCCCTCCTGCTGGTGGGGGTACAGGGGCCTCCCCCGGGAAATTTTGAAAATAGAGATGCCAAATCCTGCATTCTGGCTGCATTTTTTGTAACTCTGTCACTCTATGATTGTACTTAAAACATTTTTCTATTTGAAAAAGTCCACATTTATGATCATTTAGGGTATTTCGAATCACCTTTAAAGTTTACATTTTGACTTGCAAAAATAATAATAATTATTATGATGATAAAACATGTTTGAAAATAGATTTAACAATTATCAGGTACATTTTAAATGTTAATTAATTTTGTTGCTCTGAGTGAGTATTTGGTACAAATTTCAGTAGCCATGCAGGGCAAGTTTAAAGGCTGTTTAGTAGCCCGACCTCAAAATTCAGTTGTTCCGGGCCAGCGGGCTACTGTTAGTGTTGAACCCTGGTTTCATTTAATGTGGAAAAAAAATGATAAGTTCTACATCCCAAATGTTATGCATACTTGTAGTGACATAATTTTAACTTCTGTAGAAGTTTCTAGTATGCCCATCCCATTCACACAACCGCAACTGAGCATTTATTTCCCTTGCCATTGCTATTTTGAAACATATTTTAGTGCAATATTTATAGCATACATGCCAACTTTCCCGATTTAGGCGGGATCCTCCCGATTTTACCCTCTCATCCCGCTTTCCCGATCGGGAAAGAAAAATTGCCCTAATTTCCCGATTCAAAAAAATCACCAAAATTTCCGATTATAAAAGATTCCCTACCGCTGAATTTTGACAATCGGGATAACAATGTCAAACTTGTTTATTCAATGCACTCAGGTAAGTTTCATTGTTTATTTAACAATGTCAATTAGCCATAGGAAATCACTTCACGCTTGATCGCACGCAGTTTTCCAGGTACAAGTACCTTATAGCTTGGGGCAATTAGGGGATTATCTTGTCAGTTTTAAGGTGTATGCAAGGTGAAACACATAGATTAACGTGTTAATTGTTAGTCATTTTATTAAAAACATAAATTAAAAACAATGAAATACTAATCAAACTATAAAATCGGAATCCAAAGAGATCGTTTTTTTGAAAATGAAAGTAGAAAACTACAAAGCATAGCTGCTGATTTTATCTACCTATAATGAAAAATATTGTTAAGTTTGCCTGTTAAAATATTATGAAATTAAGATGAAACAATCAAGTGTATTTCAATTAGAATTTCTTTTACCTTCGTTCTCCCAAAAGTAATATTTTATAGGTACCGGTATGTGCATGACTTAAGGAAATACCCACATGGCACCATCAAGCCTGACAAATTTCATGACTGTAAAAAAAAAATTCTCCTTTGGATAGGTGGTATAAATTTCAGTAAATTTAATACCTTATTAGAATTTCTAATTTATTGAAATATAAATAAAAAATCTCAAAAATGTTTCCAGAAACAGGACTTTACAGTATCAAAACCTCATATATTTTTAGCCTTTGAAAAAAATGATTTAAAAGTTGTACAATTTTCAATTTTTCACTAAATTATGTGTCCTGGTAAAAAAAAAAATCAAACATGTTTTTAATGAGAGATCGAGGCACTTATTTTAGCAAAAATATTTCAATTTTGGAAACAAAAAAATTTTTTAAATTTATTTTTAAATTAATTTTTTGTGTTAAATTAATCCTTTAGTTGTATTAATAAGTGATATCGAATATTATAAATTTAAAAAAAGATCATTTCATTATCATTTAATTTGACGACAAAATGTCGCGAATTTAGAGCTTTGAAAATTGTCGTCGCGCGCTAAATCCCCCATGGGAATTTTCAAAAGTTGGCATGTATGTTATAGGAAATGGTATTTTAAGAAATGCACTGTCACTCTAGTCTTGTAAAAACAAATCATAACAAATTTTATGATTAATAGAAAAATTTTCAAACTTGGAGTTAAATGCCATACCCAAAAATTGGAATGGACTCTTATGGAGATTCTGATTTTCTATGATGTATTTGACAAAATTGGAAATAGCAAATACCCAAGCTGTTTGGTGAACTAATATGTTGTCATATTTCAAAGTTTGTTTATTGAGGATGCAAATGACAGTTTTTTGACATGGAGCCCCCATGCGGTCAAAAAGATTTTGAATGTTCAAGAGGCCCCATCAAAACTTATTTAAACAAATCTGGATTTCATAGAAATTTTCCTTTATGCTTTCTTTTATGTACATGTACCTACGTCTCCAAAGATTTAATCATAATTATTTACCTTTTTAAAACAAAAATTTTAGGTATTTGACAGAATGCAAGTAGAAAGTCGGAAATAATTGACATGGCAGCCAAGTTCAACAAGCCATCAGCTGCCCCTTTCTTCTATGGGAGGATCACAAGGGAGGAAGCTGAATGGTTTCTACGGGAAAGGGGCACAGAAGAGGGGTTATTCTTATTGAGAGAAAGCATCAGTCCCCTTGGAAACTACGCCATTAGCATCTGCCACAATAATAAGTAATACATGTACAACATTTTATTTTGGATTGATATGATCATATATTAGACTAAATTGTATTTTTCTTAGCAGAATAATGTGAAGGAAAGCTTTCAAAGTTTAAACACAATCTAGACCTTGCTCATTAGTGAAAAAAATTACACTGTGTTATTTTCCAGTCTTTTTTAACAACTTATCTATCAGACGGTAATCAACAGCTACATTTTAATATATATTTTTAAAATAATCTCTAATTTTCTACATTTTATATGTACATCTCACAATCATAAACACAGTAGCCTAGCATATTCTAAATCTGCCTTTTTTTTTGTATCCCTTTGTAGTGTTCACCATTACAGTATAGAGAAACGTCTAGATGGACAATTTATGATTGCGGAGGGGAAACCTTTCCCAGGTCCCCTGGAACTTATAGAGCATCACAAAACTACAATCGATGGATTTGTCACAAAACCAACTAAACCATGTAACCGTTCCAAATTTCAACCTGCTATTGCTTTCAGGGGAATGACTTATACAGATCTTGAGAATGAATTGTTGAAAAAAGCAGAAAAAATGAAGGTGGGTTCTACTTTTTTGAGCACATGCTTTTACACATTCTTACATTTGTTTGCTCACAGAAGTTGAAAGAATATTGAAAGTTTTAAAATTTGTGCAAACAGAGAACATTATTATTAATCTGTAAAAAAAAACAGTTGTCAGTAGAATGAATAAGCTCGTTAAAATGTAGACTGAACTATTGAATATTGAAAGAATGTTAAACAACAAAAAGTTCTGATCCTAAGGCTACCAGGGTATATGGGGATTTTGTTTTATGTATAGAATGTGAGAATGGAGACGGCCCTGGGTGCCCAGAGGGACCACCTAATGGTAATGGTGGCTAAGGACCTCCACACACAGATGCCGTGGTTCCACGGCAGCATCAGTCGAGATGAGGCCGACAAGAGACTGACGGCCGACGGACACGAGGACGGCAAATTCCTGTGAGTTTATAACTAAACATTTATCTGGTTATCTTTGGAGGTTCTTAAATTCAAAAATGTAAGGGTGACTCATTGGAAAGTGATTATATACCTGTAGTACATTAGGGACTCACCCCTAAGTTTAATCATTTTAAAAGGTAGGGTAGGGGAGCAAAAATGGAAAGAGATGGGTTTTATGGTAACCTGCATATCACACATTTTTTACCTTTATTTATGCACTTTTCATCCTCATTTTGAGAGTTTGCTATTCAAACTGGACTTAGGTCATCAGAATAATTATCTAAGGAAGATGATGTAATTATTTTGATGCCTAATGATTATATGAGTCTTGAAAAGGATTACTCTGTAGTAGAGTACAGAAAAAAACCATATACTTATAAGAACATAAGGCATTTAATTTGAATCAATGGTATAAATCTTTGGTAAAACTTGGTCTGGAAAAAAAATACAGTAAACTGTAAGTCCATGGGAAAAAAACTGCTCCACCAACTCTCATTTATTTGTGCATGCATATTGAAGTTAATACAGTGGCAACATCAATCGTCAGTACTGGATGTCAAGCAGTTGACAGTTGATATTTACATTCTTCATCCATTAAACTACAAAATTTTATATCTTTTCAGAGTGCGTCTTCGAGAAGATCGGAAAACATTTGCCTTGTCTTTAAGTCACAAGGGAGAAGCTCGACATTATATGATTGAGAAGAAAGATAAATTCCACATTTTAGGAGGACCCAAGTTTGACTGTATAATGATGGTAAATATGAGTAAAAAATTTACTTTATGATTGATTCTGTTCAAAATTTATAGTCTGAGAAAAAAGATTTGTGAATGACAATAAGAGTTATGAATTGGAAAAAATATATATGGTATACCTTAAAATTTTGCATTCCCTCACCTTTTCCTTCATACCAGAAGTTTAATAAATTAAAGATGAGGTGTTATGTTATATTTTCAATAGATGATTGATCATTACCACAACAAAGCTGATGGACTTCTATGTAAGCTTGTCCTGCCCTGCCCGGCTCCAAACTTTGACAAAGGCAAATGGAGAAGTAAGCAGCACTTTGTTATGTTTGAAGTCTTTCTGACTTGTTTATGTTGTTTTTGAGGATCAATTCTTTGTTAAATAATGTAATTTTTTTGTGTTTTGAATATATCTTGAATGAGGAATTGTGGACTAAATTTTTGTATTGATCAAATTATTTATGAAAAATGAAGTTATGAGTTATTACAGATAAGTTGTATATTTTTTCTGAGTCTGCTTTCAGGTTGATAGTGATGTCAGGTTGAACAGTAAATATCTTCTGAAAAAAATTCAAATTCAAAATTAATGTAAATTGATAATTCTTTGTAGAATACATGGACTATAACTGTAGTAATTTAGCATATGGATCCACAGAACAGCTGTCCAGGAGCCAAAATAGCTTCACAGATTCAGTTGTAAGTGAGAATATTGAACTTGATCAGTTGATATACTGTAGATCACTTCATTTTCGCGACACCTTATTTTCGCGAGATAGTCATTGAATCTTCGTTAGCGAGACAAAATTTTCACGAATTGTTGTCATTGCTCTATATTATCTTAAGGAATTCTATTATACGCGAGAATGAAATTTTTGCGAGCATACCGTCTGGCGTAATTACGCGAAAATAAAGTTCTCGCGAATGAAAAGTGATTTACGGTATTCAAAGTTCAGTAGAGGTGAAGTTCATATTGATAAATTCATCCATGGTTTTATACCCATGCACCGAAGGGATCCAAATGTATATGGCATAGAATGTTAAACATTAAGATCACAATTACTGTAGAACACTAAATTTTCACGACACCTTATTTTCATGAGATGGACAATTACTCTTTATTAAGCAATTAGACAAACTATTCACAAATTGTGATTAATTTTTAGAAATACTTATATAAATAGAATGATATTTTTGCAAGCACATTGTCTTACACAATTATGCGAAAATTTAGTTCTTGCAAAAAAAAACTGATTCACAGTACCACATTATTTACTGCAGAATCTGAAGTTTACTAATTACTATATTACTATACATGTATATTACTATAATATAACAAAGGTAAAAAATTTTAATATTGAAAGCTTTTTTTTGGATAGAAAGGAAAAAAGTTCTGTCCAGTAAAAATGAACACTTAACAGCACTGGTGAAAGTAAATTGTCAGATCGTATATGACATGTTATCCTCTTTTCAAGAAATCAACGCTATTGACATAGAAAATTTTTTATTTCAGGATGCCCCAGGTGTACCCTCCTATCGGGCCCCTCAGCCCCCTGTCCCAGGCCTGCCCCCTGCCGTCCCCCCTTCACGTATGGAGAGAAAAACATCTAGTCGTGCCCGAGCCCCACTGCCCCCACTGCCTCGAGGCATTAACGAAGAGATGTGGGAGGAGCAAGGTAATTATTCCATACAAAGGTTCATTTTATTTTTTAAAAAAAATATACCTTGTAAATGTTATCAGGTCATGTTTTGCACATTTTAATTTAGTTGTCAAAGGAGAGAATTTAAAGAAAACAAAAAATACCCATCTTTACTATAATTAAGTTATCTAGGAAAGAAACTCTCAGCTTTATTTTGGAGCCATTAACAAAAAAAGATCTCGATAACTTCCTCTGTCTGAAAAATTTTGTTCTAAATATAATAGCCTTTGCTAACAGCTCTCCTTTTATATTTCAAAACAACTGTACTCAATCTCAGAGGTTATCATGCAACATCCATGAAAACCTGTACTTTATTTCTTAAATCCGTGCATGCTTCATTGGACTGAATTTCTCCTGATTGTTATCTCAGAGCGACCGATGGAGCGACACAAGTCCATGCATGACATTGACGCTAACAACTTGATGAAAATTTATGACACAGTCCCTAGGAACGAGGAAATGTTTTCTCTTCAGAGGTCACAAATCAAACTTGATCAGGAAAATTTAGGTCAGTAGCCATGTCAGTGTGAGGTTTTTTTTAAAATTATTTTTATTTTGCTGAAATAACGGAGAAAATCTTGGTGTGCATGTTACAGGTACTTGATTGGTATACATGGCACCCCCTACTAACAGTAAACCAACTTTTATTCATGTGCAAAAAATTTTTGCAAGGTTCATGGGAGCCTTGTCATCGCGAATTTTTCTTGCCAGGAACCAGTAAATAAAGGTTCTATGTCTATTAATAACAGATCCATAAAAAAGGCTTGATTGCTAAAATTAGTCATTATGAACCAGTTTATCCTGGTAAATCATGACATAAAGTTGTCGCAAATAAAAGGTGATTTACAGTATTCTTAAGAATAAAAAGGGGTGCCCTGTACATGAAACAATCACCCATGGTGGTGTTCCTTGGTTGGATTCACTACTTAATCAACTGTCCTCACATTCTAAAATCTAGCTTACATTGTCTGTTTATACCTTGTTTAGGATCGGGTCAGTTTGGGTCCGTTGCTAAGGGAGAGTGTACTCTTAGGAATGGTAGTGTTATCCCAGTAGCTGTAAAAACCCTGAAGAATGAAGATGTTGGTGCCAAAGAAGAGGTGAGTTTTAGTGAAGCTACACATATTCCATGAGTGGGTTCATGTTTGATGTTTCTGATGTTCTGTTTCTAAGATCAATTTTGTTCAGTGAAAAACCTTGCATTCATCTCTTTCATTTCAGATGTTGAAGGAGGCTCGTTTTATGATGAACCTTAATCATAAACATATAATTAGAATGATTGGTAAGTAATAGCAAAACTTTAATACAGTTTTAATTAACGGATACATTGCCTGCTCACTCAGTGTTTTTTAGTACCCTCAGTTACTGATTTAGTCTATTGATGACACCGAGCATTTTATTTATCAATGTTTTACATGCATCTGGTCCCCTCAAGCTATCCTATTTTCCTATGCCTCTTGTTGAGAAATAAAACTTACTCTTGTTGAACTGGAATTTTGCTTTAACTATATTGTATGGGACTTAGTCTGATGTTGTGCTTTCTATTCTAGGTATATGTGATGCTGATTGTGTTATGCTGGTTTTGGAACTGGCTCCCAAAGGTCCCCTTAATTCCTTCTTAAAGAATAACAAGTACGTGAATGTTAATTAGTCTGATAAGTAAATCACTGAGCTGTTTGCAGTCATGACCTCTGCCTGAATTTTGAAAATGAATTCTAAGCCCATTACAGTACATTGGAAGAGAATTCATAATATTAACATGATAAATGGTTGTTTAATTGAATAAAAAAAATCTTTTTCAGAAATATGAAGCAGTCAAACATTGTAGAAATAATGTGGCAGGTAGCGCAGGGCATGGAGTATCTCCAGCGTAAGAAACACGTCCACAGAGATCTGGCAGCACGTAACGTGTTACTAGTTGATGAGCATACGGCCAAGATCAGCGACTTCGGAATGTCTAAAGCAATGTCTAGAGAACAGAACTACTATGAGGTTCACACAGTCACTTTCAAACAAAAAATTGTGGAAATATTTTGCGGACAAATAGATAATAACTATTAGTAGGGTAACACTTTTGAGTAAATTGTCTCACACAAAAATGGGGCTTTATAGTTTTTAAAAAATCATTCATGCAGTGATTTTTTGTGTGCTTGATGGCTAATTTAGGGAGATTGAACATAGTTTAAGTTTTTGTAATGTTCAAAAGTATGTAGGTTTTGTTGTTACTCAGGAGGAATTTCATTATCTAAGGCTACCCAGTATTTCTGTACAAACTACTTGTTAGTAAAGGAAATATCCTTATAGACATCTGAATTTATCCTGATATAACTGACTTAAAAAATTTTATTTTAAAGGCTCAGAATGCAGGAAAATGGCCGCTGAAGTGGTACGCACCAGAATGTGTATATTACTGGAAATTTGACAGTAAATCTGACGTGTGGAGTTACGGGGTCACGCTGTGGGAGGCGACCTCTTATGGCGACAAGCCATACAGGGTACGTCAAGATGGCAGCCGGTTATATATCTTAAATATTGAAATTTTTTGTTTAAAATAATGTGAAAAAATTTTGTCTTCATAGATTAAAAGTAACATTATAAGATTCACTCCAGTGTATGAACATATCTATGTTTTTCTTTTTAAGAAAATGAAAGGACAAGAGATTTTACATTTCCTGGTGGAGGAGAACCAAAGATTACAGAAGCCGGCACGCTGTCCAGACGAGGTGTATGAAGTGATGTTAGATTGCTGGAAGTACGAGTAAGTCAGTTTTTTAATTTACCTGTTATGTTTTGTCACATTTCAAATCTCTCAATTAACAATGGATTAATGTCTAACAAATATCCATTAGGTTTCTCTCATTTGTGATTTCTTTACTTGAGATATTTAATAAAATGTGAATGCATTGAATAATGTGTTGTACATTTGTTTGTATTTTTTTTTTTTAGTAAAAATGAAAGACCAACATTCACACAGTTGGAAACAAGGATGAGCTATATTTATAACTGTTTGTTAGAAAGAGGGGAGTGATAGTATGAAATTGTTTCATCGGAAAGCTTCGGAATACTGCATGAGCGATTGAAAGGAGATATCTGCCTCTGCATTCTCAGAACACATTTCTGGAGTGAGATACATAAATTATTTGTATTCTGACTTAGAATATGATCTTAAGTTTTAAGACAAAAAACACTTGACCAAGTGAATTTTTTAATTTGTTGAAATTAAATTTTGAAAACTATGCTGTACACAGAAGTCATGAGTTCATGATGAGATGAAATATCAGGCGTGAAGAAATAAGGGTAACACATAGCAGAAGACTTTAAAAATGAGTCAATGTAATTGTTTTTTTTCAAATATTCTTACATCTTTGTCAGTGTTTTAATATAATAAACTTTGTTATTTGTATGGAAGTGTACAATCAGTTTTATCATTGCCGTAAAAATGATCTATAGTTCCAAAGGAACACAATGTGCCTATTTCTTGTTATGTAATTTACATTGTACATATGTGTTTGTTACTCTAAACATGTTCAACATCGAAGAAAAAGCCCTTTATGTTCATGTTAAGGATATATGAATTTTCATTTATAGGAACAATTAATTTTTTTGTATGTGTAAAAGAATGTCTTACTACATGTGGAACGTGTATTATGCTTTATTTTGTTCATGCAACTACATAATTATGTAAATTTGAAAGATTTTATTATAAATAAGAGAATTTAATTTATTAGCGCCCCGCAAGGATTTGCGGGTGCCCTATAGTAATCACTCTGTCCGTCCGTCTGTCCGTCTGTCTGTCTGTCTGTCTGTCTGTCCGTCTGTCACTCTTCCGTCCACAAATTTTCTGTTTTTTTCTAATAACTTTTTCTATGGTTGCCCAATCAAGTTCAAATTTAGTATGGTAGTTCAGTAGGCAGAAATACATATTTTGATGCTAAGTTTGGTTCTCTATGTCTTCTGGTTTGGAGCTGGGGTGATGGGGTAGATTCCTTAACTATGCATAAGAATGAATGGGCAACTTTTTTTATGGTTGCCCAATCAAGTATAAATTTGGTATGGTAGTTCAGTAGGCAGAAATGCATATATTGATGCTAAGTTTGGTTCTCTATGTCCCCTGGTTTGGAGCTGGGGTGGTGGGGTAGATTCCATAACTTTATATATGAAAGCATTGGCAAAGAGAGATAACTGCTGAAGATGTTCCCCTTGTAAAATGAATGCTGCTATGAGTCCCTTGGGATTAATTAGCTTTCCTCCTGAAGAAAATCCAGAGCATTATCTTTATCTGTCAAATTGAGATGAATTACCACCTCTGTCTGCAAATGAAGTTTGTTTTGAAGTGAAGTCAATTTGGAATGCTATGAACACTCTGAAATGTGGATTTAAATATAAATTTTTATAATTTATTTTTGTTTAATAGTTATGATTTCATTGAATTCTAATAACAAGAAAAAGATTAAAGAAGATTTTTTTGATTTACTTTTTTTCACTTTATGTTAATTCAAGAATATTATTAATTTTTAGGATAGTTGTATAAAAACCCCATTCTGTCATTAATACTGAAAAAGTTCTTATTGTAACTTTAGAAGAAAATGATGAGAGAGGTACAATTAATCCCTTGGGATTAATTATCTAGCCTGCTGCAGAAAATTTAGTAGGCTTTTCTTTATCTGTCACTTTAAGATTAATGAAAACCTTTGTCTGCAACTGCTGTTTGTTTGAAGTTAAGGTCAAGCCTTTATGATATTTGCATTCATTGAAGGCTGGAATTTTATATAACACAAGCTTCATAATTGTTTAAATATACATTCAATGTTAAGTTATTCTTCACTGCCTAATGTAAATACAAGGATATTATTTTCAGGTTTTTGAATATTCAGGAATTATCTTGAAATTTTAAGAATACAGTTGCTGTTGCTGTTGCTTATTCTTCGTACATTTTTTAATCATTCCGTAAGCTGCACCTTATTAATTTTGCCCCATGGTGGGGCCCTTGCTGACTGGTCAGTTTTCTAGTTTTATATGATTTTTTTTCAATATTCTTCATTGATAACAAAGTAAATGCATATAATTCTTATTATTAGAATGCATAAAATTCTTGCTTTTAACTGCAGCGCTTTTGTAAAAGTATACTAGTATTAAGTCACATGACATTGAACAAGTGATTTTTTTAATAATGGGGCTTAGTTCAGTACTGTTTTCCATTATACTTACATGTATGAAATGGTGCAATGATTATAAGAGATTTTCTGTTCTCTGTCTCTGTTAGCTCTCCCTACATATCATGTTGCATTTTATAGATATTTCTAAAGTATTCATATACTAGTATTTTATGTGAATGTATTTTTATAAAGACATATTTGTATATTTTTGTACATTGGTATTTTTCTACATACCTGCCTGCTAGCACTCTTGTATATATTTTCCAGACAATAGATTTATTTTACACATTTTTAGCTCACCTCAACGAAGTTGGGGGGAGCTTATGTGATACCCTCGGCGTCGGCGTCGGTGTCGGCGTCGGCGTTGGCGTCCCGGGTTAAGGTTAAGTTTTTTGGAGCAGTTTTCTTTTTAAGTACTTCTATGTCCTATATTGATTAGACATGCATGGAAGATGTTGCTAGTGTGTTTCATTGTACCAGTCAAAGTTTCAGATGCTGCAATTTCAGCAAAGGAATGACCAGGTTAATGTTTTTGGTGCAGGTTAACATTTTTGGTGCAGTTTTTGGTATAGGTCTCATTTCCGAGTAACTATAAGCCCTATGTTGACCAAACTTACATGGATGATACATCTTAGGATGCATACTACCAGCCTTGCTTCGGATGCTGAATCTGACCTACATTTTCCGGTTGAGTGAACAGGTTAAAGTTTTTGGTGCAGGTTTCATTTCGAAGATACTTGAGCCCTATAATGACCAAACTTGCATGGATGGTACATCTTAGGATGTATTCTACTAGACTTGCTTCGGATGCTGAATCTGACCTACATTTTCCGGTTGAGTGAACAGGTTAAAGTTTTTGGTGCAGGTTTCATTTCCAAGTTACTATGAGACATATAATGACCAAACTTACATGGATGATACATCTTAGGATGCATACTACCAGCCTTGCTTCGGATGCTGAATCTGACCTACATTTTCCGGTTGAGTGAACAGGTTAAAGTTTTTGGTGAAGGTTTCATTTCGAAGATACTTTGAGCCCTATAATGACCAAACTTGCATGGATGGTACATCTTAGGATGTATTCTACTAGACTTGCTTCGGATGCTGAATCTGATCTACATTTTCCGGTTGAGTGAACAGGTTAAAGTTTTTGGTGCAGGTTTCATTTCCAAGTTACTATGAGACATATAATGACCAAACTTACATGGATGATACATCTTAGGATGCATACTACCAGCCTTGCTTCGGATGCTGAATCTGACCTACATTTTCCGGTTGAGTGAACAGGTTAAAGTTTTTGGTGAAGGTTTCATTTCGAAGATACTTTGAGCCCTATAATGACCAAACTTGCATGGATGGTACATCTTAGGATGTATTCTACTAGACTTGCTTCGGATGCTGAATCTGATCTACATTTTCCGGTTGTGTGAACAGGTTAAAGTTTTTGGTGCAGGTTTCATTTCCAAGTTACTATGAGACATATAATGACCAAACTTACATGGATGATACATCTTAGGATGTATACTACCAGCCTTGCTTCGGGTGCTGAATCTGACCTATATTTTTCGGTTGAGTAAACAGGTTAAAGTTTTTGGTGAAGGTTTCATTTTCAAGGTACAGTGTACTATGAACCCTATAATGACTAAATTGCATGGATGGTACATCTTAGGATGCATACTACCAGACTTGCTTCGGATGCTGAATCTGACCTACATTTTCTGGACGAGTAAACAGGTTAAATTTTATGGTGCAGGATTCATTTCCAAGTAACTTTGAGCCTATAATGACCAAACTTGCATAGATGGTACATCTAAGGGTGCATTCTACTAGGCTGGCTTCGGATGCTGAATCTGACCTACATTTTCTGGATTAGTGGAAAGGTTAATTATTTTATACAGGTTTCATTTGCAAGTAACTTTAAGCCCTATGTTGACCAAACTTGCATGGATGATACATCTTAGGATGCACACAAATGGACTTGCTTCAGATGCTGAATTCGACATACATTTTCCAGATACTAGACCTCGTAAAAGTTATGGGTGCAAGTCTATCACCAAGAAACTATAAGGCTTATATAAACCAGTTGCTTAAATGATGCATCAAGGGATGAAAACTCTCAATCTTGCTTCAGATGCTGGATTTTAATTACATTTTCATGATGAAGAACTAGTTTTTAGTTTTTATATAGGTCTATTCCAAAGTATCAAAATTGCATAAATTTTGCATTTTTGGATGTACACTTTTTGTTGGTTAATTGTGTGACTTAATTTGCCTTACTTAAAGACAACACACGTTGAGGTGAGCTCTGTAATCTCTGATTACCTATGTTTTTTTTTCAC